TTTTTTTTTGCAGTTACATATCATTTTCGATATCTGAAAACTTTGGTTTTTTCTGTTTTCACTGTTAGAGGCTACCCTACTCACCGTCTGTTTTAGTTTCAGTCAGAAAAGAACCAAAAAAAGAAAATTTTGTTACTGTTTTCCAGATTGACATCAGTCTTTAGAGACATGTTATTCCCTGGTGTTTTTGCAGTAGCCAGGATGCATAGTTTTGCAACAACGAGTCAGTTCCAAGCTCAATTCGCCGCCGTGGACAAGGGAAAAAGAGAAGTGTTTAGCTTCATAATCGCAAGTAGTTGTTCAACGGGAGTATTTATTCATCATAGTACAGCTTTGCTTTTGCTCCTTTGCACTCAATAATTGATTTCAACTGATATTTATCTTTTTTTTTTTTTTTCAGCAATGTTTGAAGGATATTGATAATGAAGTGCAGATTTACTCCGGTTATTTGGTTTGGTTGTTTCAGAAAGCATTTGATGCAATAGTTTTTCTTTATTTTCAATAGATCCATGTAAAGAAACTAGTTGTGGCTAGCAAAAACTAAAACTTAACCCATGCACTTCTCCATGTCATGCATTTTTTTCCTACAGGAATCCATTCTGAAATAAAGGCAGCTTTTTGAGTCATTTCTTCCACAACCGTTTCTTGAAAAGACTATGTTTTGGAGCAGTATTCGTAAGTTTCATACATAAACTTTTTCAAAACTAAACTGAGCTTAAAAGGCAGACTGGTTTTGGTGTTCTTGTAGACTCACTGCCATTTGCTATTAGACTATGAATTGTAGAGGATTAAAGTGATGAAGACTTCTGAAGAAATCTCTAAGGATTTCAAGCTAAATATTGTTTTTACTTGACTTCACCGCAGTTAATATCTACCTGTCATGTATCGGTGTTCATTGGCTTAAATTAAATAAGTATTGACAGTCTGGCACGCCTTCTTAATAGCTGGTTTTTATAGGAACTTTCCTGGCCGGGAAACTTATAGATTAACAAGGGCAAGAAATGTTTCTCGGAAGTATTTTTGAATCTTTATTTGTCATTATACGTGAATTCCTTTTTTGTATGTAACCTAAGGAGTTTGCTAGAAGGTTTAGTCTTGTTTAAAACATTTTCCAGTTGGTGATACGTCTAACGTCATAATATATATCCTCAAACATTTTTTCCACTGAATTCTTTGCTTTTTTTTCATCGGTTGTTGGTGCCCTTAATATTATTGCTGCAGATTTTGAGGCCGATTGATTGTTTCGCTGAAAGAGTTTAACTTGAGAAGTAAGGAAACAGTATTGCTAGATTTCATTTAATTCATGTGTGGTAAACAGTGATTTATGTTGTGGATACTTCCTGTTTTTTAAACGTCTGTTCCTGATTTTGGTTTATTAGTTGCTTTCGGGATTTTATTACTAGAATTTTCTAGTTGTTTTTCTCAGTAACTTTTAGGCGTCGTGAATTGGTACTGTGGTCTGATATCAGGTGTTTCATTTTGATTTTTTCGTTTACCTCGACCATTGTTAACTGTTTGGTATCTCATTGAATTATTATCACAAAACATGCTTGAAAGAACTTTATTTCGTGATTTATTTTTTTCGAGCACTGTTAGAAGTTAGTTTTACTTCGGGTAGTTACCCCTCCACAAATTCGTCGTTTATTTACCCAGATAACTAACTTTCAAGAGTAGCTGTGATGTAACAAAAAAACGAGTGATTTTAGGATTGAAATTGTTGGAGTAGATTCCAACATGCCTTATCGATGAGCTCTTCTAGTTTTTTTAATGCAACTTTTTTAATTTGGTATTATATTGGTTGTTTTAATTACAATTTTTGCAGGTTGAATTGGCACGTCGTCTATCATATCTGTTATTAACTGTTATGTACGCATTTTATAGCCTGTTCACGGTCGTTCCTTGTTAGAAGCCTCCATTTTACTCACGAGTTTCACTCAGTTTGCTTCACAGGTCTACTGGCATGGAACGGAGAAAGCGAAGATCACCAGTAGAAGAATATATAGAATCTTTACTGGAATCACCAGAAAAATTGGAACGTTGTACACAGTTTTACCAGAGTTTAAAAGGGTTTTACCACAGGAAATGGTTAGTTTATTTCTTCTGACGATACTGTAAAGGGCTTTCTGTTTATTCGGTCTATTTCAGGAAATGTCCTCTAAAAGCGCCATATATTCAAGGTGTTGAAGTCAATCTCTTTCACCTTTATGAAATTGTCAATTCTCTTGGTGGTTGGCAGAAGGTGATTAGTTTGCTTTGCTTGTATTTAATTTATTATCGTTTGGCTACTGGTCTGCAGTCCTGACCCGTGCTGTCTTTTTTCTTTACATTTATTATAGTATAAGTAGGATTTTTGTCACTGCGACATTATAAAACCTAAAAGTTGATTTTTAAATGTATCACTAGCTTTCTAATTTCGATTTAGAGCTGTTTGGTATCTCATTGAATCATTATCACAA